CATATTATGATTAGTATTACTACCCTCCATCTTCATATGTAGAAGCCTTTTGGTAAGGGATCCAAATTAAATCCTTTCGGAGCGGAAGGAATCCTAAAGTCACCACACTTCAGACGTGATCGAGTGGAAGATTGCAGAGTCATAGGCGGGTATGGTTCCAGATTCTTTTCTGACTAAGAAAGCTTTGGAAGCATGGAAAGAAGCTGAACGATTTCGTCCAGATATCCATATGTACACCCAGAAAGTAATAGTCCATGAACTGATTCTTTATTTGATGACAAGGTCAAGATATCCATACGTACACTCAGAAAGTAATAGTCCATGAACTGATAGCCACCTAATATATCTTTATGTGATTAATAAAATCCACAATAAGTGCTAATGAATTGATAGCCACATGAGAGGCAAAGTTTTCTCCGTGTCCTCTATTATTCCTTTTTTCATTGATATGAAGACACAATCAAGCTTATTTTTAAAAACTTCAAATAGCTTTTCAACTATACCACTGAAAAATCAAATCTCAAATACTCAAATAGTCCAAAATGAATTCCTAAATGATCTGTATCACAAAAAAATTTCTTTCAATCTCTCATTCTAGTTTTTGTTCATAATATTCTCTCCATAAAAGACCACATCTTTATAAAACATTGTTGCTATAAATAATAAAAAAACAAGGACATGAACTCTTCATCTATGCCTGAAGTGGAAAAAAATAAAGCTGAACCCCCTCCCTCCAACCCCCAACCCCCTAACTATCAAATTATTCAACTCAAAAAAATAAAGTAAACCCAAACACAATAACAGTTTAATCATATTCAACAGATATCACTAAAAATACATTACAAAATGCTATAATTGTAAGAGGAAAATCATAAAGATAAAATAAAAACTAATTTACCTTGATAGCTTTCTACTCCTCCAATCAATATCGGACACCTAACAGCAATAATCAATAATCAATCAATACTAAAAATAAAGGTTATCCATCAAACAATCAAACTGAGAATATGAATAAGAAATTACAATAAAGTAATCTGGTAAGGACTTCTTTGTGAAGCATTAATCTAATCTGGTAGGTACAGTCTTCCTCACTGATGAAACAATAAAGTAAAAAGGATTATTAAACGTTTACGATCATGTTTACAGGGAACTATATCAATCTTTCAGAGTTGATGATTGCTTCTGGAACATAGGTTTGTGTACAAACTACTAAGACTGTTGGATTTCCTGTGATGTTGCATTATTCTCACTGAAATGTTCTGAATATATTCAACTTTACACAGGATGGGAGGTCATTTCTATACTGTTGACCAAGCAAAATCAAATGGAGTGGTGGAAGTTTTTGGTGAAAGGTGAACCTAAAATTGATACTTAGAAAGTTGAACTCGAGTCTAGCAAATTGTCTGATTTGGATCCTGAGACTCGGCAAACCAGAGATGTCTTAACCTGTCCTTGTTCCTAGATATGAAAGTTTTATTTGTCAAGTGTTTTTTTAAACTCTATAACCAACATAACAACAGTAGATTTAATACATTTCTATAGATTGACAATGCATAATCATCTAGACACATGAAAATTCCTAAATTAGCAACCATTTGATTTAAAAAACAACGCAAATAAGCACATAAGTACAAAAAAACAAAAATAACAATTAATAGAAAAAAAGAAGAGTCTCCTGTTGAGCGCAGGAATAAAATGGGAAAGGAAAATGTTGATGAAAGAATCAATAATCAATAAGACCAATAATCAATAATAAGAGTAGAAAAGTGCAGGATTAGTTTAAAAGAACTAATCTAACTGAGAAATGTGAAGATCGAGATTCCACTTACTTTCTAATCTCGCTCCAGCTACCCTTCGATTATTGAAACCCTCGTGCAATGTATCATGAGCTCCAGCACCTCAGATCTGAGCCCTCATATACATCATATATAAAACATTATAGCAACAAGCAACCATGCAATAAAACTTAGCATCCACCTCCTCCACCCACGAACTAATGCAACAAAACTCCCATCATTGCACCATTTTTAACTCCAAAAACTTGATTAAATTCCCTATTCTAAACTAACATGACGACGAAGCAACCATGCAGTGGAGATAAGACTAAAGCTCAAGCTCTCACCAAGCAGAGCGCTGACAAGGCCGCCCGCGCTGATATCAAGCGACCAAGATTCCTCCCCCCTTCTGACCGCCGACACCGGCAACCTGTTCGCCACCACCAGCAGCCTCTGCTTCATCGGTCGCCTTCCTCCGCCTCCGCCGTGCCCTTCGCCAATCACCGCCGTGGCGGGGGCGGAGCCCACATCATCACCGGGTGGGTTGGCGGCGAAGATGACTGCATCGATCTGAGACGCGCTACACGATTCCAACCCTAGCCGGGCTTCGGAATCGAGGATCGCAAGGAATCGAAAGAGACCGGACTTGATCGGAGCGGAGCGGAGCGGAAGAGGTGAGGAAAATCGCGAGGGGGACCGCGATCCTTGAAGAGTTGAGGGGAGAGAAAAGGGGATGGCGTTGGTTTGGGGGAAAATAAATGAGAAAAAAACGGAAATCGAAAAAACACATCAGTATCCAAACACCTTGGTAATTAAATTTGGTGGAAGGCTATTTTGGGGAGGGTAAAGTTTTTTTGGAACTCCCTCGTAGATAGATAATAACAGGGAACATAATCTTTGAAGCAAACAGTACATAAACTCCTTAATCAAACAATTAATAATATCCGAGGACACTATTTCAGGGTTTTGACATAGTGACGGGGATCTTTGACAACACTTATCAATAAAGACCACCATAAATTGCATTCTCACCGTTGCTTCTTCAGCCATACTTGTCGGTAGCGTCTCATGTGAAAAGCCACAAATCTCCTTTTATCAACTTCCACATTCATCACTAAGAAACAAAGAAGGTAAGTGTTTGTTCGAACACCTCGATCTTCTCAAGAATTCCCTTAATGCAGAACTAACCTGTAGTTCTGACTAGGGATGTCAACCACGACTATTTTATAATAGTTAATTATTCATGATTGGCAATCCCACCTAATTAAAAAAACCAAAACTTTGAACAAGGACCAACTTTTAGCTTCCCATGTTGTTGTGGTAAAAAACTAGGTCATTTTTGTGAATAAATAACAGCTTTTATAATAAATTTGAAAATCCAATTTTTTTCCTTTTGCTCATTGGCCATTTCTCCAGGACCCAAAAAGAAAAAAGGGAAAAAAACCGTTACATGACTATATTGACGCACAATTAAGTTCAAGGGAAGAATGTAACCTCCAAGATTATACCCCATAACTTTAAAACATATTAAACACTTTTATCTCCCATTTAAATTTAACAAACTATTTAACTCATTAAAGACACTTCATTGCAAAAGGAAAACATAATTTTTAATTAGTGCTTGATGTTATAAATCCTCAAATATTTTGCCGAAAGTACCTAATGCCGTTAGTGCTTGACGTTATAGACCCTCAAATGTTTTGCCAGAAGTACGTAATGCCAGAATTCAAGACTATCCGAATTATTACAAGAGTTCAAGGGAAGAAAAAAAATTGTAACCGACGAAAGTATTTATACCCCACAAACTCGTAACATACTAAAAAAACTAACGTCCCATTACAACTTAAGAAACTATTCAACACATTAAACACCCTCAACAATGTACAAACTGTCTATTTATAAAAGGGCAACAAACATCATGCACCATACTCGCAGTGAGAAAACCAACTCAAAAACTCTCAACGCAATGGTAACCATAACAAACCCCAAACTCTCCTTCTTCCTCCTGTTCATCCTTCCATTTCCAGCCGATGCCGGCACCGGATTAAACCCGATTGACGGGTGCTGGCGGGGCCTGGACTACACTGTTGACCGATCAAAGCTCGCGACTTGCTCGGTAGGATTCACCGGAAAAATGACGCAGAACGTGGGGCCGGGCTTAAGGATGTACAAGGTCACGGACCCTAGCGATGACCCGGTAAACCCTAGGCCGGGTACGTTGCGCTATGGAGCGACGACGATTGCCGGAAAAGTTTGGATCAGTTTTGAAGGAGATGTGCTCATCAAGCTCAGGAGGCCTCTCCTCGTCAGTAGTTACACTGCCATTGATGGTAGAGGGGCTAACGTGCGTATTGAAAATGGAGATGGCTTCTTGCTTCGCGAGGTGCTGCATATTTGCATGGTTATTTTGATTGATGTGTTAATCCTCACATTTTCATATGCTACAGAGACATAATAAATACATCACTGACTATACACCATGCCAACGTATTACACCAGATAAGATGCTAGAGAATTACACTAGTTCTCATTTGTCCAATTTTAGATAAATCATCGAGACTAGTGGAAATACACCAAAATTATATCTCATTTGTCTAATTTAGATAAATCAAGACTAGTGTAGATACACCCAAATTACAATTGACAGATTGGGTATGATTCACAACACACCAGACAAAAAGGTTAGAGTATGTACACAATCATTCTTCGCTTGCCCAATTTGGATACACGAGGACTGTTACGTCGCTCCAACGTCTCGATTGCTATTTTGCTGATACGACACGTACGTATCCAGATCATAACTGACAATGATAGAGATTCTGATCATCATAATTTTTATCAGGTGAAGAATGTGATCATCCACGGGCTGAACTTCCACCACAACCAACCCACTACCGCAGGCCCAGTCGTAGGTCCGGGAGGAGCAGTTGATGATCATGGCAAATCTGATGGCGATGCTATCAGCATAATGCATTCGAACAACATCTGGATCGATCACAACACCCTCTCTCAGGGACAAGATGGTCTCATTGACGTTACACATGGGTCGACCAATGTAACCATTTCCAACAACTGGTTCATGGACCACGATAAGGTCATGCTGCTCGGTCACAGTGATACCTTCGTCGAGGATAGCGAAATGAAGGTCACAGTTGCATTTAATAGGTTCGGACCTAACTGTAACCAGCGCATGCCTAGGGTTCGAAGAGGGTACGCTCATGTGGTGAATAATTTCTATGATGGGTGGAAGGAGTACGCAATTGGTGGTAGCATGAACCCCTCTATCACAAGCCAAGCCAATGTGTTTGTTGCTCCCGAATCTAACAAAGAGGTGAGGAAATCTAACCTGCAGATCATCTAAAACAAACTTAAAGTGGACTGATGAATCTAACCACCAACCTTTTTTCAATCTACAATCGGATTTACTTTGAGATCCGTGCTGGATTGTTACCAAAGCTATATATCTTTCAGATACATGCCTTGATGTGTATCGCACGAAGGCTCGAATCTAAAAGCAAACGCAACGGATAAAAAAAAACTGCTAGGCAGAGCCCTCAGTCCCCTGAAGTTTCTTCTAGCTTTACTCCTACTAAACCAGTACAACTCTAAAATTTACAGGTAGCATGGGAAGAACCAGGGAATGCAAAGTGGAATTTCAAGTCGGTGGGCGATGGTTTCGTCAACGGAGCAAGATTTGGGCAGGCGAACGAAAGTCAAAGCGGACCTTTGTATGCATCTCAGCAAATGTTTACGGTTGGAAAACAGGAAGAAGTGAGGTCGTTGACGAGAGATGCAGGTGCACTCAAATGCCATGGAAAGACATGTTGAGCAGTAAAGATCTTGAAATTTCTCTTTGTTGCAGTAGTTGATCCTGGACCTGAAAAAGGAAGCTCATTACCTTAGGGATTAGGCAATTTGTTTTATCGATTTTGGAGCCATTTTTTTAGGATTAGGCAAGTGAAATTTTAACAGCAGTTGCTGGCTTAGACCCAGGTTTAGTTTCAGTTGAATTTATCAAAGTTATTTCCTTTGCCGAATTCCGTTGAGTGTTGTTAGATGATAAAATTTTTTGAATGCATTTCGTGTGCTCAGTTGATGATCACTGGACTGCTGATTCTCCGTTTCTTTGGTTTGATTTCCACAAAAGATTTTGCTGCTTATATATTTCCAAAACATCCGCTCAGTTTCTCAAGAACAATAATACTAACAAAACACTTAATCCGATTTTTGGGGGTTTGTTACGTGAATCCTATTTGTCCATTAATTCGGTTTTGTGATGAATATCCCCATTAACGGATAATCAAGTTTTTGAAAAAGGGTATTTGCGCTTTACTACCCAAAGTCTCAACCTTTTCTTAACTTTGATATCCCGAGCAATATCTTTGATGTTGAGATCAGTGTACTTACTACCAGAGTAGTGATAGTATGTGCTTGAACATCCAATATAAATTATGTAATATTCTTAAAATATTAATAGATTTAACTATTGTATGTATGATTTGGGTATCATTTCTATAATTGTTATATTATCTTTAAAAATTATTTTGTTAGATCATGCACTGTGATGTGTCACTTGCTTGGAGATGTGATCTAACTTAGAGATTTCTTAGATTTGTGAAGAGAACGGATCTCGCCTACATGGAGAGGCGAGGAAGCTCGCCTACGTGAGGCGAAGAAGCTCACCTACGTGAAGAGGCGAGGAGCGTGAAGAGGCGAGGAATCTCGCCTGTCACCTAGCGTGGATCTCGCCTGGCGTGGTGGGATCTAGCTGGAACTTGAAGAGATCAAGGCGAGAAAGCTCACATGTGCGTGGAGGAGCTCACCTGCGGAGCTAGAAGAGCTCGCCTGTATGGTGGAAGCTAGGTAGAGGTCGACCTAGGGTTTCCCTATAAAAGGAAAACCATGTTCACGAGATTTGGGTAGAGCTCATCTCGCGATTTTATAGAGGAGAAAATCTATGTGGCGAGCGACGGCGATTTCTCAAGGATTTTGAGAAGCGATTTTTTAGTCAAGAAAAATTCACAGTCTTGAGAAGTGAATTTTTAGGTAAAGAAAAATTGCACAAGCCCTGTAGAATTTGCTATAGTGACGAGTTTGTTTGTTGTGAGAGATCTCAAGTTTGAGATCTTCTCTTTGACAAGCTATGTAATTTCTTGTGGTTAAATAAAAAATTATTTGTGCGACTCCTATGGACGTAGACAAGTTTGTCGAACCACGTAAATTTGTTGTCTTGTCTGATTTACTTATTTTTTTATCTGTGTATTCGTTATTGCTTGTTGATTGTCTTCTCTCAGGATTAATATCACTTCCGCGGTGGTGTGGGCATCCCTCGCTCCCAACAATTGGTATCAGACTCCTTATTCAGATTGGCGGTGGTTGAGCTTCTGATCTGAGGTGGTGCTTGGTTATTGTATGGTGCACATAAGGAATTTGTTAAAAAATTTTGAGAGAGGAGGTTTACTGAAATAAGCTGAGGATGACGTCTACCAGTAAAACAGTTAAAGTTGGAAAGTACGAGATTAAAAAGTTCAATGTGAAGAATGATTTTTCCTATTGGAGGATGCAGATGAAAAATTCGCTGATTTTACAAAAATTACACAAGGCTGTAGGGTGTAAAATTCGGGTCTCGATGCGAGATTTGTATTATCTGTGTGTTTGTTACAAATTAATGAATTCCGGGATTTACAACAGAAGCGGAGAGAAGTCTCTTCTTGTTTAACGGGGATTATTCGGTAGCGATAGGACGCCTCCTTCGGTGCTTAAGCCGAGTTTGCTTCCCTTGAACGATACGATCGACATCGTGGTTGGAACTTCAGTACGCAGTAGAAGCTCCAAGGTGATTGGGTTCGAGTCTACCCGAGGCCAAACAAGTGCTTGTGCTTGTAGGCCGAATGCTTGACTGTCGGAAGTCAACTACCCGAGCTTGATAAAAACATCAAGGCCGGAAGCTTAGAGAGGGCTACAATGTAATAGTTTGCAGACCCAATAAGTCTCAGGTTTGAGAGTTCAGATCGAGTCTACTTCAACAATCTAAGCTTACAGCCAAGAATGTTCTACCAAGCAAGCCAACGAAGGTCCCTGTCAGAAGAGCCAATTCTAGCAAATTGGGTCCGATTTCAGCAGCCTCAGTCCATTCTTTTTCCAAGAAGAGGAATAGAATCTGCCCCCTTACATGTGGGCAATGAAGTCTTATAAATAGGCAAGGGATGACATGGTCATCCCTTGATGACATGGTCATCCCTTGATGACATGGTCATCCCTTGATTTGTGGGATTTAACCACTAGAGGAGTCATACTAGCCGCCCTAGCTGTGGGATGTGACCACCTAGGGGGTCCTATCTGTTAGACCCTAGAGGGGGAGTGATTAGGGTCTTATGCAAATCTAATCCGATTAAATGCCAATTAAAATTGATTAATACGTTATCCTAACAAGTATGAAATACAACAAGATATGTAAGCTAGGATAAGCAATATGAACAATGAGATATATCGTATATGATGAATATATATATATGCAAGGATATATATAAACTAACACAAGGGGTAAACAATCTAAACAAGATAGTGGATGATATAGATAATGAGCTAATGACAATGGCGATATAAGATATGAACATAAATATAAATGAACGCCAAAGCACACTCAAACAAGCAATATGATCACGGAGTTCGGACCTTCCGTCCTACGTCTCTGCTCCCCACTCCCGGGGAGAAATCCACTAACCCAATCCGGTTTGGAAGCCGGAACTTCTTCTACACACTCGGTTTTCTAGCTAACCGAAAACTCTACAACTCACACTCTTGCAATCACACTCTACACCCATTAAGTGTTGGACCTAGCCGTGTCTCCCTCAAGTGCTCGGTTACAACCTCTCTCTAGGCACGTCAACTGACGCCACTCCTCTTGGGACGATCCCCGACTCTCACCACACACTCCTCTCGGTGTACAAGTGTATTGTAGGCGTCTAAAAATGCCTATAAGTGTCCGCACACAGCTCGAGACAAAGAGAAGGCGATGAACATTATTATTCGAAGCAAAGAGGATCATCCGACGTCGACAAGCGCATGAAGCGAATCAGCAAACTGTTGATGACACGACAACGAACCACCACAAGGGCAAACGCCAAGTGGACCGCACGCGTTAATCAACTCAAAGCGTACAAACGCGCCCAACAGTCAGTTAACACGCACGCATCATTCAGCTCGTGCATGTTAACCAATTCGTGCGCATCAATCAGTTCGCATGCGTCAATCAATATGCGTGCGTCAATCAACACGCGTTTGACGGTCAATTCTGCAACGAAGCGTACGACTCAACAAGACGGTCAAACACGCAAAACGGAGGAAAACACAAGCCCTGAAAAGCCGGAAAACACCGAAGAACTCAACAAAGCAAAAAACCCCGCGTTCGCACGGGTCGGACCGTGCCGACCCGCGGCCGCGCGGGTCGGACCGCGCCGACCCGCGCAAGCGCGGGTCAGACTTGTCCTGCGCGCACTGTTTTGACCCGGTTCGGTTTTTGATGGTTTTTCTCGAGATTTGTTGGTTCCTGAGCATCCAAACTGACTTGATATCATCTACAAACGTGGTTAGGCTGTTATTGACTAAAGATAAGGCCAAATTACTTGTTCTCATCCAAATAACCGCTTCCGAAGCCCTATAAATACAAGCATAGGGCCTCCTTTCAGCGGGGGCGATTGATTATCAAGACGAGGAGGTGCTGCCGGATTGTGGAGTCAAAGGAGCATGAATTTCAGCGAGGGTTGACAGATCTTGGCGAGTTCTTCGGCATAAAGAAGGAGAGTTCGAGAGATCCGACACCCATTCCCGTCCGTCCTTTGAGATTAAGCTTGGTCTTAATCTCGAGAAGAGCCCTGATTTCGCTTGGTCGATCTCAGCGCTTCAAATCAAATACTTCCTCGGCGAAGGCGAAGCTCTGTCGAATTTTCCATTAACCGGATCCAGAGGTAAGGCGGTCCACGGATAAACCCCGGCACAGGCAAAGATCCCACGCAAGCAGAAGACCGATAAACGATCTCTGCGTTTGTTTGACGAGAATTGTATTTTTTCATTTTCATTGTGTAAAAGTCTTATAAAAAGACTATCTTTTTGTTTTCATTGTAACGATTGATGTTGTAATGAATACCGCAATGAATACAACAATTTTTGACGCAAACAAACTGGCGACCACAGTGGGAGCCAACAGCTTCACTTCTGGAGCTGTCGTGTCGCAACCTCGGATCTGCATCCCGGTTGAGGAAGTGGTCGAATACGAGTTCGACCAACTGAAGTTCGAGGAAAATCTGTCGTCCTCCTCCTCCAGATCCTCCGCCTCTCGCAAACGAAGGAAGATCAACGCCCCCGTTGTTACGGTAGCTGAACCTTGCAACGCCCTTCCGTCCTCCAATGAGTCTGGATCTGCAGATCTGAACTCCTCCTCAATCAAGGAGTTGAGTACAGAAGGCACGCCTATTTTATCAAAGAGAACTCATCAAAGGCAGCGCCAACGCTGTGCGCGCCAACTCGCTAGAGCATTGGAGTCAATTGACGGGATCCGTTACGAGGCGGATCTGAAAATTAGGCAACGCCAAGCACCCCAACAGCGGACAGATGTCCTCCCCTCCAAACCAATAGCAAATGAATGGATCCAAATCAAAAAGATCCGTTCAACTCAATTCAAAAGCGCTGCGCGCTTGTACGCACGCGAATTCTTGTGCAAAAAGCACAAAAGATGCAGAAGAAGGACATAGCTAAGAAACAACCAAGACTGCATCAAACTTGGAGGCCAAAATCCAAAACAGCAGCCGAAAAGATCGAGAATCGCGGGTCACTTAAATCCGACCCGCCGGCGCGCGGGTCACTTCAATCCGACCCGCCAATTTGTAGGTCACTCCAATCCGACCCGCCGATTTGCAGGTCACTCCAATCCGACCCGCTGATTTGCAGGTCACTCCAATCCGACCAGCCAAAACGCAGGTTGCTCCAAT